ATGGGTGTAAAATGTCACTTTCAGATCCATATGGATTTTTTTTTTTTTGGTTATAGATCTGACTGCAACTTTTTTTTATCCAATGGGGGGGGGGGGGGATTTACTAAAACTGAAGAGTGCACAATCTGGCGCAGTTGTGCATGGCAATCAGCTTCTAACTTCAGCTTATTCAATTAAGCTTTGACAAAAAATGCCTGGTCGCCGATTGGTTTTAATGCAGAGCTGCACCAGATTAGCACTCTCCAGTTTTAGGAAATCTCCAACAGGCGGCACAGTGGCTTAGTGGTTAGCAGTTCCACCTGGGGGATCGTTGGTTCGAATCCCAACCTTGGCACCACCTGCCTGGAGTTTGCATGTTCTCCCTGTGCCGGTGTGGGTTTTCCTCCAGGTACTCCGGTTTCCGCCCACACTCCAAAGGCATGCAGGTAGGTTAATTGGATCCTGTCTAAATTGTCCATAGTATGTGTATGTATGAATGTGACTTAGGGACCTTAGATTGTACACCCTAACTTGAGGGTTAGGGAGTGATGTGTGAATGTACAATATATATATATATATATGTTAAGCGCTGTGTAAATTGACAGCGCTATATAAGTACCTGAAATAAATAAATAGGTGCATAATGGGGTTTAGCTTTGTAGTATAGAACAGCATTCAAGTGATGTAAAAAAAAAAAAACAATAAAAATCCTGCATGCGAGATAAGTATTTTTACATGACTTTATACATACACATATGTAAATGTGTATAAACATGCACATACGTGTAAATCTGTTATAGAATCCTTACACTTCTTAGTGCTGTATGCACATTTATGTGTATAAAACAAAGCTTTTCTATGTACTTTTAAGTTGGATCTTGTGCCAGCTTCCAGCGTAAATGTGAGTATTTTCAATCCGCCCGTGTGCATGAGCCCTTAGACAGACGACAAGCTCCTTCCCAGGGCTGGCACTCAATTTCCTGACTCTCAGCCTGCTAGACAGTGACAGTTCAGCTTGACCTGAGATGACAGGTCCACTTTTACACAGCTGCTGATCTGCTAATACATGGAAAGTTTGCCTTGTAAAGCTGAGCCGTGTGCTGCAGCCAGCAGAGCAGGCACTGTGTAAAACAATAGTTTGAGCAGAGAAGAGCTCTCCCCCTCCGCTTCTTCCCCAGGTCTGAGTACTGTGTGGCCAGTGTCACTCACCCTCACTGCCGTAACGTACTTGCCATTGTTCGCTCCCATCCTGGAGACTTCATGCTCTCATCTTCCAAGCATTTCCACAGGGTAAACCACAAATGAGCAGCGAGACTCCTCCATAGGCAGCGGGGACACTTAGAAGAAAAGAGTTAGGAAACAAAGATCAGAGGCACTTAGTAAGAGATCCTGTGTATGTTCCACTTTGTATAGACACAGGCAGATCCCTGGCATTATAATCCATAGGAGGAAGGACAGAAAGCCATACAGGACTGATCCATGCCTGCCATCACAGTGGCCCGGTCTTCACCTCCACCATGTAGACCAGGGCACTGCGGCCACTTGTTGCTGTGTGTTCCCTGGGGCAGAGCACAATGCATCCACTCACACAGACTACATTAGCATCCAGTGAACAGTAACTGTCCCATCATCCATACCCTATGGACAAATGAGGGAGGAATCAGCAGCCTGCAGTCCTCCTCCAACTCCTCCCAGCCCTCGCGTCAGGCATGATCCCTTTCCCTTTATTACCTCATTCCTGCTACCCCCAGGAGCTCTTCTAAGCATCAGATCCCAATTAAAACAATGGAAGGGGAAGAGAAATCCCTGGAAACGTGAAGGATGGAGTGCTAACAGCAGCTCTGTGCCTTCCCCTGGCTGTGTGCAGCCATGACCCTGCAGGCTAGGTCAAGGTGACCATCCTGAAGGAGCAGAGGCTGGGAATTGCACAGGGAAACACCCCACAAGATTTATAACCTGGCTGTCTGGAAGGCTTCCAAGTTCAGACGTAGCACAGCTCCAACAGCCCACTGTTACACTACAGCCTCAATCCACATTACAGGAGCTGTGCGAGTACACAAACATTTCATGGCTGTGCATTGTAGTCTGGTCTGTGCACAACCATGGCAGATTCAACAAAACATAACTATATATTATACACAAATATGTCATATATACAAATATAGAATGTACACAAATATGTCATATATACAAATATACACAAATATGTCATATATACAAATATAGAATGTACACAAATATGTCATATATACAAATATACACAAATATGTCATATACACAAATATATAATGTACACAAATATGTCATATATACAAATATATAGAATGTACACAAATATGTCATATATACAAATATACACAAATATGTCATATATACAAAATATAGAATGTACACAAATATACAAATATATACAAATACACAAATATGTCATATACACAAATATATAATGTACACAAATATGTCATATATACAAATATATAATGTACATAAATATGTCATATATACAAATATACACAAATATGTCATATACACAAATGTGTCATATATACAAATATACAATGTACACAAATGTGTCATATACACAAATATACAATGTACACAAATATGTCATATATACAAATATATAATGTACACATAAATATGTCATATATACAAATATATATAATGTACACAAATATGTCATATATACAAATATACAATGTACACAAATGTGTCATATACACAAATATACAATGTACACAAATATGTCATATATACAAATATGTATAATGTACATAAATATGTCATATACAAAAATAGAATGTACACAAATATGTCATATATACAAATATACAATGTACACAAATATATAATGAACACAAATATGTCATATATACAAATATACAATATACACAAATATGTCATATATACAAATATATAAAGTACACAAATATGTAATATACACAAATATGTCATATATACAAATATATAATGTACGCAAATATGTAATATACACAAATATGTCATATATACAAATATAAAGTACACAAATATGTAATATACACAAATATGTCAAATATATATACAGATATATACAATGTACACAAATATGTAATATACACAAATATGTCATATATACAAATATACAATGTACACAAATGTCATATATACAAATATGTCATATACACAAATATGTCATATATACAATGTACACAAATATGTAATATACACAAAATATGTAATATATACAAATACACAATGTACACAAATATGTCATATACACAAATATGTAATATATACAAATACACAATGTACACAAATATGTCATATACACAAATATGTCATATATACAAATATACAATGTACACAAATATACTGTATAACAAATAAATATCTAATATACACAAATATATAATATACATATACTGTATAATACATATACATATGTCATATATACAAATATATAATGTACACAAATATGTAATATACATATACTGTATAATACATATACATATGTCATATATACAAATATATAATGTACACAAATATGTAATATATAATATACCTAAATATGCTGTATAACAATATTATTATTATTATTATTTATACAGGATTTATATAGCACCAACAGTTTCCTCAGCACTGTACAATATAAAGGGAGATAATACAGCAACAAATACAGTTCAATACAAGAGGGATAGGAGGGCCCTGCTCCTTGGAGCTTACAATCTATTAATATCAATATCTCCTCCACTCTTCCTACCACTCCACCCCCCCCACAGCTATTTCCTCCCTTACCACTATCCCCCTCCCTCCTGGATTGTAAGCTCCAAGGAGCAGGGCCCTCGAACCCCTCGTGTATTGAATTGTATTGTTACTGTACTGTCTTGTGTACTGTCTCCCACTGTCATGTACAGCGCTGAGCAAACTGTTGGCACTATATAAATACTGTATATTAATAATAATAATAATAATATATACAAATATATAATGTACACAAATATGTAATATTTAATATACATAAATATACTGTATAACAATATTATTATTATTATTATTATTATAGAGGATTTATATAGCGCCAACAGTTTGTTTAGCACTTTACAATATAATGGGAGACAATACAGCAACAATACAGTTCAATACAAGAGGGATAGGAGGGCCCTGCTCCTTGGAGCTTACAATCTATTAATATCAATATAAATATGTCATATATACAAATATATAATGTACACAAATATGTAATATACATACATTTACTGTATAATATATATAAATATGTAATATATACAAATATATAATGTACACAAATAAGTAATATATACAAATATATAATATACATAAGTTTACCGTATAATATATACAAATATATAATGTACACAAATATATCACATACACAAATATATAATGTACACAAACATATAATATACACAAAAATACAATGTATACAAATATATAATATACAAGTTTACAGGTAGACATAACAAGCAAAGTAGACTTGTATCATGACATGTAACAAATTGTCATTGTTTTTCAAAGTAGAAAAGAAATAAGCAGTGTGATGTGCTGAAACATGCATTGTACTACCTGTTAGAGTACTTTCACACTTCTCTGCTGCAAAAAATGCAGTATAAACGCATATACATTTTTACTGCATTTTTGCAGCCTTTCCAGTACGTTTTGCACCTGTGCAAAAAAGACATGTGACTAAACAAAATGCACAAAAATGCAACTGTGGGTGCATTTTTGATACGTTTTTATGCATTTTTTAGGCATTTTCCATTTATTTCAATGGGGAGGTGCGTTTTTGTTGCGTTTTTTTACCGCACCAAACATGCACCAAAAATGCAGCTTGCAGGACTTACAACGGACCCAGTGTGAAGATTTTTTATAGGATTTAACCACCTGCCACCTGCCATATAGTACAATGACAGGTGCAAGGCGGTTCTCTCATTCTGGGAGGACGTCATATGACATCGTCCCATTCTAACCGCACATGCCCGACTCCGGGAGCGTGCAGTGCGGCGATCGGCAGTGCGCTGTGTCCCTTGGACACAGCGGATCACCGATCAACGAAAGAGCCGAAGATGTTGCCTCGGTCATGTGATCAGCAGTGTCCAATCACAGCTGATCGCATGTAAATAGGGAAATGCCGGTTATCGGCATTTCTCTCCTCACGAGCTGTCACGCTGACAGCTCGAGAGGAGAGCCGGTAATCGGCATTCCTCGGAGGGGACATGTACACTGATCATCAGAGCACTGATGATCAGTGTGCCCTGATAATCTGTGTAGCCCCAGCAGTGCCACCTATCAATGTCCATCAGTGCCAGCTGTCAGTGCTCATCCATGCCACCTGCCAGTGCCCATCATTGCCACATTTCAGTGAACATCAATGCCACATATCAGTGCCCATCTGAGCTGCCTTTCAGTGTCACCCATCAGTGTCAGTCAGTGCCACCTATCAATGCCAGTCAGTGCCACCTATCAGTGCTGCCAATCAGTGCCACCAATCAATGCCAGTCAGTGCCAGCTAACAGTGCCAGTCAGTGCCGCCTAACAGTGCCAGTCAGTGCCGCCTATCAGTGCCGCCTATCAGTGCCATATATGAATGCTGCCTTTCAGTGCCCATCAGTGATGCCTGTCAATACCCATCAGTGCCACCTACCAGTGCCTCCTCATCAGTGCCATCAGTGTCATCTATCAGTGTCCATCAGTGCAGCCTATCAGTGCCCATCACTACAGCCTCATTAGTGCACATCAGTGAAGGAGAAAATTCACTTATTTCCAAAATTTTATAACAAAAACAATGAAAAAAACTTTTTTTTTTCAAAATTTTCAGTGGTTTTTGGTTTGTTTAAGAAAAAATAAAAAACCCAGAGGTGATTAAATACCACCAAAAGAAAGCTCTATCTGTCACAAAAAAAACAATAAAAATGTCATATGGGTACAGTGTTGCATGACCACGCAATTGTCATTCAAAGTGTGACAGCACAGAAAGCTGGAAATTGGCCTGGGCAGGAAGGGGGTATAAGTGCCCTGTAGGCTAGTGGTTAATGGTCATGCATTTTGAGTCTGCTTTTTTTAAAGTAAAAACAGAATAAAAAGCGATCAGTGTGAAAGCAGCCTTACTGGCACTGACACGGCACTAAATTGCATGGCAAAAAGGTGGGTTTTACTATGCAGGCTAGTGTGAACATAACCTAAGCCTAGGTTCACACATCTGCATCCTGTATTCTGTGGGTAGGCAGCCTATTCACTTAGATGGGCTGCCCTATCTGCAAAAACGCATGGAAAAAAAAGTCATTGACACTTCTTTTCAAATCGCACCGCATCTTCCAGTTTGTGGGGATTTCTTTAAGAATTATTGGTAACCCTGCATATTTGCTGAAGAGTGGTGTGTTTTGCCTGCGGGTTGGGAATACATGTGATATTGCAAGCATTCCTGACCCACACAAGGCTCCAGATATGTGCAAGCATGTTGCAGGTATGGTAGCCTATTTATTTCAATGGGCTGCCCTACCTGTGAGAAATGTGGGAAATCAGTACCTGATCCTTTTTTTTTTTAAATTGCGCCAAACCAACTCACGTGGGGCACCATTGGCACCATTGGGGGTGCCATTAAGGATCAATGGCACCCCCGCATGACTGCCAGACTGCAGAATGATTTTTTTGCTGTGAATCAGGAACATGAGTGATTTTGTCCAAGCTTGCCAGCTGCAGAAATGTAAACTTAGCCCTAAATCAAGTGTCACATAGTAATGCCCTGCTCTGTAACAACATGCATTGCCATTCAGTGTTGTATGGAAGAATGCAGACATGCTGTATTATTCTGCACTGCAATGCACAGCATGCCTCACCATGTAAACATGAGTCATATAAAACAATGTTTCCTGCGTTTACCCAGTGCATAAATACGCAGGTCATCATACATGGCATGAACAAGCCCTAAAAGCAGATCTTCCATGTGAAACAAAAGGTTTCTTTCTTGCAGGCCCCCATCCTCCTAACACAAATGACATTAATCCCAGTTTTGGGGACTGTAAAAAGTATCCCATGCAGTAGGGCTGCCTCCACACTGCAAGAGTTTATTGCTCGTTTAGGTCTAGGCGACCATGAAAGGTTTACTTACCTGATCCTCCACTCTGCTAGACTGGTCCTCACAGCATCTTCTCCCCTATGCTCCAGCTGCCTAAGGTCCTGATGTCATGTAGACCAATGCAGGGTCCATATCCATACAGTGGACATGATGGCACCAAGGGACAGTCGACCATCCATGTGTGTGGGGGAGCTCCATCTGCTGAGGAAGTAGAAGATCAGGTAAAAATCAAAGTATAAAAACTCCCCTAAACGAAACATACAGTTACCCTGTGCAGTGCAGGCAAAGCCCCAATGCAAGGGATAATTTTTGCAGTGACCCCGGCACTGACCCTGATACTAGGGGGTCCAATTATAAAAATATTGCATAGCAATTCACCCAATGAAAATGCATGTGTATTCATTCTGTGCAATGGGGGCAAAAACATTATTAGGCTATTTCTTGTTCTGGTTAAATGTTCTCCAATTATTTAAATTCTGAATGGCCAAATATTTTACTTAGTGCCATTTAGTGGCCAAATGAGGTATTTTCCATTTCAAATCAAGAGAGAACAATTGACCAGAACAGTAAACAGTCTAATAAAATAGTTTATATACAGTATATATATACAAATGTGTGCCACGCTTATTAATATAATATCATGTATTATAATAGCAAAAACTGCTTTGTATCATGTGTCAGCGATATCTAAACACAATCTTAAAGTGGTATTAAACCCAAAAGCAATCATTTAATATATTGCAGCTTACCAATTCTTAGATGTGGTGGCTGCTTTAGTTTTCTTTTTTTAGGCTTTCTTTCCTGCATTTCTATCTGGTGATCCAGCCAGTAAGTTTGTTGTTTTTCAACAGAACAAGCTCTCCTGCAAATGTAACAGAGGGCAGAGACCAACTATTTAACACTATCAGGGGTGCTTATGATGGTCACCTTTTAATTATTTATATAAAACATTTTGCTGTAACAGATTGTGTAACTGCAGTGTGGACTGGAGTTTGACTTTAGTTTCTTAGTGTATCTAAATCTGCTAGTATATCTAACCCCCCCCCCTCCAGACTAACAATGCTGCTGTCCAAAGGTACCCCTGTGTTTCTTCATCCACACACTCTAATACTGGAGGTGTGTTACTATTATGATCACCAGGTGAAGAGGAGGGAAAATAGCCTAAAAAGAAAACTAATGCAGCCACCACATCTAATGATTGGTAAGCAGCAATATATTACTTTTTTGGTTTTGAGTTTTATATCACTTTAAATACATAAATAACAGTATGTGTTTACACAAAAAAAAGGTGATGACATTCTAATGACGAAACACATTGGACGGGGCTAGACAAATTGATGTCATCCTGCACACGGTACCCGCTCGCACCAAACAGGAAGAGCTAGTGGAGTTGGTACACAATGACAATATACTGTATACTGTCAGACCTTAGTGCCGAGGATCGGGCACAGCATAATGTGAATGCATTAGTGGTTTTATTTATTTGTTTAAATGAACCCCCCCACCCACCCACAATTTTACATTATTACGTTTTCTGTCCTCTTCCAATTTGTATCTGCATTATTTGGTCCATATGTAAAGAAAAACATCAGCATCTGGAAAATAAAGCGCAGGTGACCCATATATGAGAATAAGGGGTCCCTCAATCTGGTGAGTGCTTGTGCAACTGGATGCTTTTAATTACTAACACAATTTAAAAAAGCTATGAAGGGGAGATGAACTGACATGGAGAGTGGTCTGGCACACTATGGAATTTGCTGCATGGTTTGGAGATCTATTGGTGGACCTTATGATTGTTTCCGCATCAATTGGAAGGAATTGATACATTTAATGTTACACAAGAGTGGATTGATGCATGTTTGTTTTTATGAGGAAAGAACAAAGAGAGGGCGCACAGGCCTAGTGCGTTACTGTCAGGAATGGACTTGCCAATGGTGGTGGGACTCACCTGGCTTGTGGGTTGCAGTACCAGGGCTGGCCAGCGGGTGCTCTCAGCAACCAGAAGCTCACTCCTGCAGTCAGCCATCACCTGAGGCTGATTGCAGGAGGTGTATTTAAGGAATGGCCAGACCTGCAGTCAGTGCCTTGGTGTATGTTTCCCATGAGCCCCTGTACCTGCATCCTGCCTGCTTCCTGCCTGATTCCTGATTCTGCTTGATCCTGACCCTGAATGAACTCCGCCTGTCCTGACCACTCTCCAGCCTGCTCCTTTGGTACCTTGTCTGCCTAATTGTTCCTGACCCGGCCCGTCTGACTACGCTCTGCCTACTCCTTTGTGTCTTGTCTGCCTGATGATTTCTAACCCGGCCGCCTGACCACTCCACCTCACCAGCCCTGACTGCTCTTATCTGTGTACATTCCGTTATCAGTTGGAGGTTTGGTTTTGTTATACTGTGTGTTATATTTGTGTATAACCCTTAATAAATTATATTGTTACACCATACTTGAGCCTGCGTTTCCCTGTGTCAGTTCACGCATCTCTGGTCTTACCGGGAGCCCTGACAGTTACCATAAAAATGCTTAATAAGAAATAAAGTAGGTGTTGTACTCACAAACAACAATAAAGTCAAGGCACGTCATAAAAGAACAGCTGGGTCAACACCGCGCTAAGTGAAAGTCCGCAATAGGGAGTGTAGACATCCAATAGGCTGATGCGTTTCGAGGACTTGCCTTTTCCTCAGAGCCAACTGACTAAATGTCTGCTCCCTCTTTTATATGCTCACTACTAGTTGAACCAAATATATATTTTTATTTGTATACTTCCTATGGTTTTTATGATTTTATGAATGAAACCAGTTTCAGTGGTTTTATATATATACTGTATATTTTTTATATATTTCTTGTGTTTACTTATACTATGTCAATTGCCCCTGTGAACCCTCCCCCTGTGTAGGGGAGTGTCCAGGATGGCCCACATGTGACCTTTGGTTCAACTAGTAGTGAGCATATAAAAGAGGGAGCAGACATTTAGTCAGTTGCAGGGGCCCCTGAGGATGATCATGATGTGGCATCTGTCTTTGTGTTGGGGACCTGAAAACAAGATCAGCAGTGATGGGGAGATCTTCCAACTGTTGTCCAACCAGCCTGGAATGCAGGTTTTTGCACATAGAAACTGTGGTGTGTGTGGCACTAGAACTTAAGAGTCAGCCTATCTACTCTGCAGATTAGTCTTTCCCTAGTAGTTTTTTAATCAGACATGCAACTGGACCTCTAACTACCAGAAGTGGCCATCGGATTCCTTACCAGGCTATAACCTACGCTGGTTATGGAGCCCTAGGCTAAAACTAGCTATAGAATCCCAGGCCAGAAAAGACATGGTTGTCTAAAATAACAGGAGCTGCATATAAACTCTATTGCAATAAACAGGTTCACCTACCAATATCAAGCAACATCAAAGAAAAATTCCCAGCTCAACTTACCAGCCAGCCTGCAACCAACCGAATTGTCCTGTCGAACAGTTCACGTTAAAAACAGGGGTTTAGTTTGCACACATTTGCAAACACATATGTAAGCTGCAGAGCCTCTTCTTAGCATCCCAGTATTATCTGCAGTCCTTAACTCTAACAGTTCACGTTAAAACAGGCACACAGAGATATCTAATCCCGTTCTTGCAGTATAGTTACAGTATATCTCTCCACACATTTCAGAGATTTTAGAACTATTTTACTGACATCTTTTAAAAATTACACTAAAATAAGTAGTAAAGATTTTAATGTGGTTTTTTTTTACTATTATTATTATTATTACTACTCATAGTTTAGTGCATTGGTAAAGTCACTAAATGCTTCTTAAATTTTTCCCACACTTGTTAAAATCTGCATTTTTGCTAGTGATTACTCTAAACCCCCCCCCCCCCCACCCACCCACCCCCCAAAAAATCAGAAATCAAAGACTCAGAATAATAAAATTGTGATTTTTTTCATTTTTTATGTTTTACAATAGTTGCATGGGTATTTCTTAAACTCACATTTTCATGTGAATGAATTTTAGTGGAAACAAACACAATATATTACCCCTTTCTCAGTAAAAAATAAAAGATGAGGATGCGTCAAGTAAATAGATACTAAACATGTCAAGCCTTACAAATTGCGCATGCCCGTAATCAATAAAACTATGGAACCCTAAATTGTCCAGAGATAAAGCTTTAAAAAACTTTACAAGTGATCAGTTTGGAGTTAAACTGTTACTAAACCCACAACCATAAAATCACTCTGTATATGCAGTAAAGCATTCTTGATATACTCACTGTGGAACCTAAGGGGTTAAATCCTCTACATTGTGTTAAAAGTCTGTTTGATCCTGACTTCTCTGATCCTCCCCTTCTCAAAGTGCCCCCCCCCCCCCCCTCTTATCTCCTGATAAGACATATCGTGTGGAGACACTCTGCACATGCTCAGTTTGGTGTGTATTGCTAGAGAGTTTTTTTTCTTGGGTGAGTGCATGTGATCAGTACAGGGCCAATCAGCACTGTCCAGACAGAGGTCAGGGGTTCTGCATCTCCTAGAGCAAAATGAAAGCGCCTCCTACAAGTTTTAATGTATGCTGTGCTGGACACTGATAGAAGTCACAAGACTGCTCTAACTTCTGGTGAGAAAAGGAATTTAGCAGTTTGTATTTACTAAAAAATAATTGCTATTCAATGTTCTGTGTACTGTGGGAGACCAGAGAGAGTGAGTGCAGGGTCCTGGGTTCAGTAACACTTTAACTGTGAATTGTTGCTCTTAATACAACATTCACGGCGATACGTCACATAGATGGGGCAAATTCCGTTTTACATACAAATGTTTGCCTTACACTGTGTGTTTGAATTGGGGTGTTAGAAAGGCTTCTCTAATGTTTAAATTATTTTTTATTCATTTTGTATAATTTATTTTTTTGGAAAGGGGTGAGCTTTCTTTAGCCCCATTTATAAATGTGCCTTGGTAGACAAGCAGGCAAAGTGTTTTAAAACTCATTTCATTAAAGTAATATTGACATTGCCACATTTACATTTTCTGTTGCCTGTTCATTCATTTTTTTGGACTGACTCTTCCTTCCAGCACTAGATCATTTTTATTTTTGCACATTGCTTTTTTTTGTGATGGCTTCTATCACTAGCCTGCTTACAATGGAGCCAATACAACATTCACTCTCCCCCACTGGACTACATAGCAGGAAGCAGCCACTCTATGGCCAATACACACAGGCGGCAAAAATAGGCTGAATATGAAGGAAAGTTGTGATCTGCCTATATTATGATTGACGGTTTTAGCCTTTTGTGAATGCACATTAGAGATTTGCACACAAGAGGAGGAGAGTGATTGTACACACTCCCTGGAAGTTAAAGGGAAGCGCTCACCCAATTGACCGAACTGTGTAAATATAATAAAGGTAAATCAAACTTTTTTCGAAGAGAGTATTTAACCACTTGGTGACCATCTACTGTAACTTTACTGCTACAGGGCAGCCGCACTGCGCAAAATCACACATATATATATATATATATATATATATAGTTAATCCCGCCATGTTCACAGGCCAGGGGCGTGCACACGCATTAACATTAAATAACAATGAGGACTGACCGTCCCTGAATAGAGATGGTCGCTGGAGCTCCACGATGCTCCGACGGCGTGACGTCATGGCGTGAGTAGGCTCCTCCTTACGCGTTACGTGCGCATGCACATTATCAGAGGAAGAAAACATTATGGTCAGTCCTCATTGTTTTTTAATGTTTACCTTTGGATGCATCCTATTTATTGACAAATAAATGCTTTATTTAACATACTACACTATGGGCATTCGTTTTGACCCCTGTAGGGAGCATTAAATCCTTTAGACGCGCAGCATCAGCCCATTGCCGCCAGAGAGGGAGCCACCTACTAACTCCTGTGAGCTGCACCCACCAAATCCCTTAAGAGGAACTCTGGATATCCCTGGATCAGCAACATCTAAAGTCCCAGAACCCATTCACTTTCAGAGGGAGCCTTCTCTGAGGTGTGATCAGATGATTTAAGGGCAGAGAAGATATCTAGAGTCTAACAGACCCTAGATTTCTCAGAAAAGAATACCTGACACTGTCTATTGCTATCACAGGGGATATTTACATTACCTGAGATAACAACAAAAGAAAAAAAAAATGAAAGGGACAGTATAACAAAAAAAAAAAAAAATCAAAATAAATAATAAAAAAAAAAATGAAAGCACCCTTGCCCCCCGCGCACAAAAAAAAAGCTCTCGCACAACAGTGTAAACAAGCATCGGCCCTTTGTCGGTATGTAAACAGCAGTTGCACTATGCATGTGAGGTATCACCGCAAACCAGGGGTGGACTGACAACTCATGGGGCCCCTGGGCAACAGGGGATCATGGGGCCCCTGTGTCCTTGCTCAATCTCAAAAAAACCTATGAAAAAGGTACCAGGGGCATTTCATGGGGCCCCCTACTGACCCCGGGCCCTCGGGCAGTGCCCGAGTTTCCAAATGGTCAGTCCGTCCCTGCTGCAAACGTAAGATCAAGGGCAGTAATTATAGTACTAGACATCCTGAATAAATCTAAAGTGGTAGCCTGTAAGGCTTTTAAAAATGTTGCTTATGGATATTAAAAATGTATGTAGTTTGTCGCCATTGTACAGGGCGTGTGCAGTTTTAAAGCTTGTCATATTTGGTATCTATTTACTCGGCATAACATTATCTTTTATATTCGACCAAAAAATTGGCCAATATATTGTGTTTTTGTGCATTAAAATTAAAAAGTTTATATTTTCAAAATATTTGTGCTTGAACAATCACTGCGTAAGTACTGTGTGACATAAAAAATTGTAACACCAATTATTTTATTCTCTAGGGCCTCTGCTTTAAAAAAATATATAATGTTTGGGGGTTCAAAGCAATTTTCTAGCAAAAATACAGATTTTTTTCATGTGAGCAAAAAATGTCAGAAAAGACTTGGTCTTCAAGGGGTTAGAAGAGTGGGTGATATGTGGCATAACCTTCAAACACTGGGAATAAAATGCAAGGATTGTACCCCCCCTCCCAAATGACCCCTTTTTGGAAAGCGGACACCCCAAACTATTTGCTAAGAGGCATGTTGAGTCAATGGAAGAATTTATTTTTTACCACAAGCTTTTGGAAAATGACAAAAAAATAAAAATTGTTTACACAAAGTTGTCACTTAAATGATATATTTCTCACACATGCCATGGTTATATGTAGAATTACTACCCAAAATACATTCTGCTACTTCTTCCGAGTATGGGGATACCACATGTGAGAGACTTTTTGGCAGTCTAGCCATGTGCAGGACCCCAAAATTCAATAAGCACCTTTAGGCTTTTAAAGGGCGTTGTTTCCTCATCACACTTGCTGACTACCTATCACAGTTTCGGAGGCCCTGAAATGCCTAGGTATTTGCTAAGAGGCATGGTGTGTATTTTGTAGATCTTGTTTGTTTTCACAAGTTTTTAAAAAATTAAAAAAGAAAATGAAAACATATGTTTTGTGCCTCTTGAAAAATAGTTTGGAGTGTCTACTTTCCAAGTGACAACTTTGTGTAAATAAAAATAACATTTTTTGTAATTTTCCAAAAATTTGTGGAAAAAAAAAAATCTTCAACGGACTCAACATGCCACTCAGAAAATAGCTTAGGGTGTTTACTTTCTGAAAAGGGGTCATTTGGTGGGTGTTTGTACTGTCCTGGTATTTTAGCACCTCAGGAAATGTGATAGGCAGTCAGAAAGTAAAAGCTGCGTAAATTCCAGTATTTATACCATAGTTTGCAGATGCTATAACTTTCACACAAAGCAATTAATATACACTTATTGGTATTTTTTTTTACGAAAGACGTGTAGCAGAATACATTTTGGCCTAAATTTATGGTGACGTTTGAGTTTATTGGATATTTTTTAAAACAGAGAGTAGAAAATGTTGGGTTTTTTTTTTTAACATTTTCTGTTTTTTTAGTTGATATCACAAAAAATAAAAATCCCATTGGTGATTAAATACCACCAAAGGAAAGCTCTATTTATGTGGAAAAAAAAGGACATCGCCAAATAGCAAAAAATGGCCTGGTCAGGAAAGGAGGTAAATCTTCCACAGGGCAAGTGGTTAAAATATAGGAATTATTGACTGTACCAAATGTTTTTAATGTTACTTTTACAGATATATTGTAGTATACCTATAACAGATTCATGGTATACACTCTACAGTCAATTTCCTTTTAAATAATAGTTTATAACTGCCATTTTATGGAAATGAATATGTTTAAAAAAATTGCAAAACATTCTCATTCTCAAGAAATGTGTTTGATCTCAGTGTATAAAACATGTTTGCATACTTTATCATCATGACATCTGTTAGTAAGCAAGTCCCACCATTATAGAACAGAGGGAAGAACATGGATGTTTACCACCTTCAAAAGTAAGAAAAACACTAACTTAACTGTATTTATTGTACTTTACACAACATCAAACAACTTCAATTTTAAGCATGTTTTCTTCACACAGCTGAAATATAAAGACAAATCTACTATCTACTTTGAACCTTCTACAAACAGATCTAATTTATGGGAGGGAAAAAAACAAGTCATTTTATGTAAGTCCTCTAGGGAAAAAAATAAATCAAATTGTACAGCAAAGTACCGGGGAATAAACTGTAACAATATGCTTACTGTTTAGACTTCAGAAGTAGGAGGAACAGAAAAATCAATATAATTAGATTTTCAATATACAGAGATTGCAGGCCTAAATTTAATAGCTTAGATGGGAGCCTGTCTGAACTGCAGTCATTAGATTCTGGTAACTGTCTACTGTAAAGATAAATCGGAGAAACGCAAAAGCCTTGTAATCAACCTTTACATTTAGCATTGCTATAATAAAAAGATTTTAGTCTGGATACATTTTTCAACAAACTATAGCACAAAGTTGTATGAACTTTGTACATCTTTTTTTTCTAATATCTGAACTATAGCAACAGTTTTTTCCTCTCCACTTCTTTTATTCTCGTGTTAGATGCTATTGTGCAATTTTGTTTCTTGATTAAGTGTCTCTTTAGATCCACCTGGCATTATATAGTTTTCCAGCAATGGAGAAAGCCATTCACTAAAAGCTTCTACCCCACTGACTTAAGAAGAACATCTGAATTTTTTTTTGCCTCTTCCAGTTTTCTTGACACAGTTACTTCCGGTCCATGGTCCAGTAGATGCCTGGGCCAGGTTTCAGAATGCACACTGTGCTATTGTTGTACACTACTCTCCATCCTGATTCAGGGGCTCTGCTTTTGAATCATCAGCATGTACAGCATTCTTACTTATTTGATTATTCTTCTTATTATTATTATTTTTTTCAATTTTCCCTACCTACATTTATAGGAGCCTATATGTTTTTGTTTACTTCACATCAGTGATATTCCTATAGCACCCCCATGGCTGCATATTTCCCTTACAAAAGTTTATGTATAAGGTATAAAAAGTATAGCGAGCGCTACAAAAATGTCTTTATAAGCTGCTAGAACAC